ATACTCTATAGAATTTAAGTTAAGTCTCGCACCTCCGCTAAGCGTTGAAATGCATTCGTTTCGTTTCGTAATGCCATAAGATTTTGTGTTATCTGTCACGGCTTCGATCGCGCCTGACTTGTATCATGCATATGGCAGAACCCTGGCATACCCTTTTAACCTTTTTGGGTGCAGAGTATGTATGAAAAGACATAAAGCAGCAGCCAGTCAGCGGCAAAAAGCCATAACAACAACCACAACGGCAAAAACCACAAAGGAAAACCACAAACCGGAATTCTTCAAGTGATCTTTACGTTCAATCGTTCAAAAAAAAAGAGAAAAAAATGAAAACCAAATGTGACTGTCTATACGTTCCATACATACATACATACATATGTATGTATTTTATACATATACTCGCCGTATGTATGTATTTTCGTTTGTATATAGACAGACACCTACAGACTGTATATTCAGGAGCTATCAGCGCTTGGCGCGGCAACTGCATTTAGTTTCTTCTTATAAACACTTTCACTTTTGTTGTTTTTGTTGCTTTTCGTGTCTTGAATAATTTCAAGAATTATTTAAAATATAAATGATAAGAAGAAAAAAACCCAAAACAAGTTCATTGGAAACAACAAAAACACAAAAACACACGCATGCTTTGCCTTTACATATGTATTATTTTGTGTTAAACGTTCGCCTTGTTGTTGTTATTGTTGTGGTGGTTTTATTTTCACTTCATTTGTAAACAACACATGTGTATGGGAAACTATTGCTTTTTGTTATTGCTGTTGTTGTTGTTGTTGTTGACTTTTTAGAACAGCGAATGCGGCGAAATGTTTATGTAATTGTGTTGGAAAATAGCGCATAATATTGTTACGAGCATGTTAAAACGGCATTGTTGTTGTGCCATAATGTGCATTATTATTAAATATTATTTCATCTACTTTGCTTTTAGTTTTCGCTTTTATTGTTGTTGTAATATTTAGCGCGCAACGAAGCGTACTTATGTGTGTGTGTGTGTTTGTATGCAAAAACTGCAATGCACACCACAATAAACGAAAACACAAGAAACACGAAACAAGCGACCGACACGAGAAATTGTTGCAATCGTTGTTGTTGTTGCTATAATTGTTACTGTATTGCAGGCCAAGCGCGCATGCGTCTCGCACGTTGCCTCGCTACGCTGGCTGCTGAACGAATGACGAACGACTGAGCAGCAGCGCGGCTGCTGTCTGTTGTGATGTTAGCCATCTAGCAGCCAAGAAGGTGAGAGAGCGTCGCTGAGAGCGCGCCATCGACTGACAGCAACAACAGAGAGAGTGAGTGGGCGAGCGAACTTTGCAAAAAACTAAGTACAACATGTGCGCGGCCGTGAGAGCGACGCACAAACAGGTAAAATAATCCGAAAATACGGCAGGGCGTGGTCGACTTTTGAAAGCGCTATGCCCGTACATCTGCGAAAAATATTTTATGACCGGTTGTCGGTCACTATTAAATTATTTCTTGGTGTTCCTCGTGTTTCGATGGATTTGTCTAGTTTGAAAGCATTCGTTACGAACTTTTCAGACCATCCCGTCGATCTGGCAATGAATTTGTAGGTTTTATGGTAAAATATTGGTATTAATCGACAGAATTATTGTTAATGTTAATTGTTAAACTAAATAAAATAAAATACAAATAAATAAATAGAAACATCCTTTCACAGATTTGTTAGAAGTTGATATCCTTTATGTCTGCAGGAATCGAAAAAATCATCAAGAATAATGGCGTGTGCTCTAATCAATTCAGTACAATATTTCGATATTTTTTACAAATTTTGTTTAGACACACCTATTATTCTGTCCAGCCGAAATATTTGTACTTTTTGAATTAACTAAACGCTAAGTTATTTTTAATAGCTTGTAAAGCCGTTTATTATTTGTTTTGTCGCTAAAGTATGTTTATTTTGAAAACTAATTGATTTTTTGAGAAAAAATAGAATATAAATGAGAGGCAAGCTTTTTGAAAAAAATGTTCTCACACCTATTATTCTATCCAGCTGTGTAGTATTTTTATATATAGTATATTATTTATATAGTGTTTCAAGTATATTCAGCTTCCCAATCAAAATTGAATTGACACTAATATATGATGGCCCTTTTTTTAAAAAAAAAAAAACTAACTTGTTTTCCTTGTCTCTATGTTATTATAGCTTTGTCTTCATCTTTTTCTCAACCTACTTTTAGCTATGCCTAGTACTATATATATAAGTATTTGTCGTTTTGTCTTAATTTTCTGTTTTATTTTAAATTTCTATTCTATTTTTTTTTTTTTTTTGTTATTAATCTCTCATTGTCTGATTTCTGCTATGGGAATCTGTTCTATAATCTAGCTTTCAACTCTTAATTACTAACTAATTTACAAAATAGTATTCGAAATGGTGTTTTATTCATTTAAAATTCATTATAGACCACGCTAACGATTTTCCAAATCTCTAGCTTATAGTACGAGTATGATATTAAATAAATATATATTTTTAAACACTTAGGTTGATAAATGAACGTAGAAATTTGCAAATTTATTCATAGATAAATTAATTTTTGAGTGAATTTCCTTCAAATATACCTTATGTGTTTCGTTAGAAGTTCCTTATCTTCATATACTCGTTACAAACATTGTAAATGGTCTCTAAGCCACAAGTAGGGCATCAAGAAATCAAGCAGAACCAGTTTTAATTGGCAGAGACACATGTGTTGCTGAATTTTCGGAACACATACATACATACATACATATGTGGCACGTTTGAGTAAGCCACTCTGCGTTCTCTCTAGGCTCTGAGTAATTGATATGCAGCAAGGCAGTGCTCAGTGACATCTGCTCACCGGAGTGATTGCAAGCTGAGTGCAACAAAGACTGACGGCAGCTGTGCCTCAGCCGGTAGTCAAGTGCGGGTGCTGAGATTAAGGAAGCATCGCCGAAATAGCGATATGTTGCATGTTGAACACAGAGTTTCAAGGAAGCATTCACCTTCATTTCATTCCACTTCGCTCCACTCTACTCTGCACATCAAGTGCGCCCGCATTTTCATTTTATTGTCTATTTTATTGTATATGTACCGCAGCTCTTGCGAACGCAATTAAAATGTTAATGCTAATACGTAAAAGTCACATATTAAATTAACACTAATGCAGCAAAAACAACCGGTTGTTAATTCGCAGAAGCCGAGCACGTAAATAAACAGAAACCCCAGCGCTGCCATGTCGTGCAAATATTTAATACCACAATTAGTTAAAAGAGCTTGGCAAGCAACCTAAATGCCTAGCACACCCTGAAATGGGTGTAAGAAGCAACAACAACATCAACAATAAGCCAAGAGCAACAACTGCAAAGCAAACACATAAACGTGATCAAAATTGAAAGGAAAATTGCAAAAAAAAAAAAATAATAAATAAATTAATAAAAATAAACTCAATAAATTTTTTTTGCGCAAGTACTGACATTTTACTTGGGCGCGCTGTGAACTTCTCTGCGAGCGTGGGTGTGACCCGCAACACACGACCAGCAATGCTTGCCACAAAGTCAAACTCCATGTTCAAACTCGTAGATACACACACGAGCGTTTCAGAGCACACGTGCAGCCGGCTTCGACTGGAGAATACGGCATCGGGCTTATCTGCAACAACTAGTTGAGCGATCTCGAAAGGGGTGGACCAGAGGTGGGGCTCTGTAGGCCATGTGGCAGCTGCCATTAGCTGTGGGTGATCGCGCCTGCAGTGCGCACAGCAAGAGCGCAAAAATTAAATTAAGTGTGGCTTGCATTCTGCTGCATACTTCTGGGGAGGTAGAAAAATCGCCATTTTTGGACGAGTGTGTTGACTCAAATTTGCAGCATACTTTTAAGGGCACGTTCAAGAATTTATTAATATTGAGGATGACAGGATCTCCCCACGAGATCCCTTGTGTAAAATATTTAAAGTAATATCATAAAATATATTCCGCATTTAATCTACAATCAGTTGTATTAATATGTGTATAGGTAGATTTAAGTGTGTCCTATATATAGATATATAATATGGACAACTTTGTATTCCCCTTTAATTTTTAACAACTAAGTTAAAGTTGCCATATTCATAGCAGAATACTAGTTTAATAAATTGTAAATAATTGTTTATAAAAAATAAAATATTTGAGTATAATATTAACGATTTAAGAAGAGAATTTTCAGTTCATTCGGAATGTTCGTATAGAATATCTAAAAAAATTTTAAAATTTCGCGGCAGAAATAGATGCACTAGCAGATTTATTATCTAAAATGTTTGCGGTAAAAGATATAGCCAAGGTTATGTTTTTGGTTGTTAAAAAAAGGAATGAAAGCTTAAAAAATTGTATTTATATATTTTTCACATATTTAAAAACAAAAATTTTAAAAGTGAGTCAAGTCTACTTATTAGAAAATGGAATCAAAAATTTTAAATAAATTTAATAAATTTAAAATTTGTAAGGTCTACAAGGCTTCGTACTATGTCCGGTATTTGGTGAAAGTCATTTAAGTTATGTTTTAAGTCTGGTCGATAGGTTTAGTCCACTGCTTTTAAAAAATCCGATGCAACCTAACAATCTATAAAATTTTAGTTCTTCCCAGTGTGCTAGTAAGAAATATAGTCTTTAAAAAAGTTAAGAACGGTTTCAATACGGAAGAGGAATGCTTTCAGTATCGATAAAAATCAATGATATCTTACTTAATATCTAATTACCTTCAAGCTTCAAAAACTCGGAAACAAATATGCAGCAGATTCTTAAATTTCAAGACTTTCATCTGCGTACTATAATTGTCCTTTCTTAAAGAATAGTCACTCTATTAACTTAAAGTTTACCAAAAAGGATTACTTAACTTAAATGCAAATACATGCTTTGAATAATATAATTATTATTCTTTTGGAGATACTAGTATTACTATTATTAAGTACTTAAGTTATAATAAAAATAAAACTTCTATTTATAATTTCTATAACTTGAGAAAAATTGCATCAACTTACCTTCCATAACATAAACAATGCTGCCCACATCGCCCTCCTTGATGATTAGATTCTTGGCTGGATATTTCACAGGATACATGCAATCGACAATTTCACGTATTTGTGTCAGGTCTAAATTCTTCATGAAATCATTATCCAAAATGGCCGATTTGATTAGTTCACGGGAACTGCAAGAGATAGGAAATGGAAATTAAATTGATGATTAATTTTAAATTAAAATTGGCAAAGCTGTCATAAATGGCCAACCGTAAAATTTAGGCACGAGTTCAATTCGACCAATTCGACTCCGAATGTGGTAGCAACTGCTTCGATTATGAGAATTATGGCTAGCCACCAGCACCAGTACCAGCAAACCAATTAATTTTAACGCTGACACATATAAATCGTTTTATCTCGTTCGCCACGGCCGATTGGCCCAAAAGCAAGACAAACGCATGGAGAGCCAGAGCCGCAAAACGCGGCAGATATTGTGTATTGGCATGCGATATGAAATTAATACAAATTTGAAAATTGTATGCTTGGCTATGCGATTGGCTACCGAGGACAGGACAAGAGGCTGCGGGTGGACCGGAGCGGGTGGAGTGGAGCGGGGAGTGGGGAGTGGGGGCAGGCTTGCGCATTGCACATGGCACGGCCATGTTGCTCATGCCTGTAAATGTCAAATGACTTTATCTGTCAGCGAATTTGACAACTTGCACACAGTGCAGACCAACCGGGCCGATTAATTAAAGCCATGGCGGGCGTGCAACGGTGGCGACGTCTGGGGATGGCGCACGGGGCAGAGGCAGTCACCCAATTTGTAGCTGTTGTCGTTGCGCGCATGCGCAGGAATGCCAGCCCAAGCCAGCAACAACTAATGACAAAGCGACCGGCTGCCGAAATTAGAACGCTCAGGTCGCATTAATGATGAGTTGTGGCAAAGTCCAAGACGCCTGCGGTGTCTGGCAAATGCAACTGCAACACCTCTAAGTGCGGCAGGTGCCACAAATTGCAGCACACACACACAAGCACACACCACAAATTTTCGGCAATTAATTTTTCATACAACTAAATATGCATGACAGGCCAGCAACCAGATATGCCACTCACGACTAGGCCAGGCGGCACGCAGGCAGACTGGCGGCAAAGGGGGCACACACTGGGGTGCAGGCAGCAGGTCGACCCGTGACTATCATTGGGCGCATTGTAGCTAGGAAGCGCCGACGTGACGCTGCCTCCACCGCTGCCGCCATGTAGCGACAGCTTTAATTTTTGCGAGCGCAGCAACGATTTTGCGAAAGAAAAATGCGTATTAGATTTCAACGCCAGCGCCAAGACACGACAGGTCGCTAGAGATGGACTTGGGGCTGAGAATAAAAAGTAACTCGATCGAAACTTTTGCACACAAATGGAAGAAGAATAAGAAATTTAGTAAATTAGTGTTATACAAGCAGATTTTCAACACGTCAAGAATTATAGAGAATTCTATACTAGAGATATTTATGGTAGTTTTGCGATTGACCATATTCATATTAATTGTAAATTGTATTTTATTTATGAATTTAAATTTATTTTTCACACTCACATCGACTTGAAATTATAAGAAATTGCAGTTTTTACACAGCTTGAACTCAACAATTTACAAAAAATGAAACTAATATAATTTTGAATTGTAAAATTCATGAACAGATAAATTTAGAAAACATGATTACGTATTCAATCAAGAATAAATTTTTTTTTTTTTATAAATCTTTATTTTTTATTTAAGATATGTCCTATGGAGGACAATTATGAAATGTTCTGCCATGATGGTTGTGACGTGATCAAGAACAAATAAGCAATTTTATCATTGTATTTCATTTTGTTTTAAAATAAGATTCCATAATGATTCTTAAAATGAAGAAAGCGAGTGTGAATAAGTGAAAGAAAATTAGGAAAGATAATTATAGTAAAAAACGATTTTCAATTATCACCTAATATTTTACCAATACTTGCCAAATAAAAAGTTTTAAAAAACTGATCTGGTAGAAAATGATTTTCAATCAATGTCAAGTTTTCAAAATTCAGTTAAGCTTCTTAAAGCTTCGGAGCGACATGCAAATAATTTGCACACAAATTTATGTTATTTCAAAAGAAGGCCTCGTAATGTAAATCCCAAAAAGTCGTTTGAAGCAGAACACTAATAAAATAATTAGACAGTTCTTACTTGTTCTAATTTGTTTTAGATTGCAAAAACCATATTTTACTTAGCTATTTCAGAGTTATTTTAGATATTTTTTCAGTAAAGAAAATGTTTTAGTTTGCGAAATTAATCAAATTATTTGTTTTTCTGCTCTTACTTATCTTAAATCGAAATTTCACAATTATCGCCGATTTGTTTGGATTTCAAGGTCTTGGCAGCAATTATTAAGTAAAAATTAATATATATGTATATATATAAATCAACCCTTTCAATACATTTGATAATATGTATATATGTATATATAACAATTGTGCAGAAGGTGGCGCTCAATTTATTTTGTAATTATAGTTTTGTCAACAACTAATTGCTACCAAGTGAAAATAGAATAGTTTTCTCGCAATTATTTGCAGCTTTTTACATTTTATTAAAATACAAAAATAAAAACTTAAATGTGTCCGTTTATAAATATATTTTTTTTTTCTATATAAATAGCAATAATTGATATACAAGAGATAATGGAAATTAAATCCACATTGTTCCATTTGTATTTGTTGTCCAATATTGATAAGCTCATATCTTTAATAGCTGCTCGGTCTTGTATTTCCGCTGTATTTATGCAATTCTGGTCTAATCTAATCAAAAATATTAATAACTGATGTTTGAAAAACCCACAATTCGAATTGTATTGACAACTTTTGAAACGCTTTGTTGCTCATCTCTAAAACCCGCCAATTGGATGAAACTAGTTCGGGCCATCGTTGTCGTTTGTTGAACGCCATTGGTGGTGCATGTTGTTTGTTGCATGGTGCGTAGCGTGGCATAGTCTTGCGTCTAGTTGGTGTTGGCTGTTGTAGCAACACCCGCGGCGCTTTTCCACGCCAACGAATGCGCTTTTTATGCGTAAATTATCTTTGGGGACATGCAGGCACACAGACATATATACATACATATGTATGTATGTGTGCTCGTACGGTAGACTCCGATTCAGATGCAGAGGCACGTTTCGGTTTGGTTTGCAATTCGGTGCCACTTATAGGTATGCCACATATAACAATTAATAGCTTCAATTAGACCTACGGGGCGTGCGTTCCAGTTGTCGGAAGCTATAACCATTTATATGACTATATTTGTGCGTAAATTTGATTTTATGTGTGCCAAGGCATGTCGGGCATGTATGTGAACGTCACTCGCCGCTAGCTGCACCTATTTTTCTATTTTTTTTATTTTTTTTTTTCTATTTATCTGCCGCAATACCCAAGGCGCCCAGCATGCCAAGATACCGAGACGTTTAACGTAACAGTTGCGGGTGCGTTCAATTACGACGCCAAAATTGAAAGTGCAAACAGTTATTAGCGACAGCCAAATGCTGTTGACAATTAAATGAAGTAGCTGTGTGTGCTCTTTCAGGGTGAGGCCGACTTTTTTGCACTTGACAAACACAGCTGCTGGACACGGCCAATACAAGTTAAGTGAGGTGCGAAGTGCTGGCCACATTTCGCACTCCAACTTAAGAGCCATTTGTCATAATTCTTTAAAGGATGATACATAAATTACTGCTGAATAGCAAAGAAGCAACATGGTAGAACCAAAGTTTATACCAAATTCAAAGAATACTTGCTTAACAGCTAGTTGTTACGTGGCTTAAAACGTGTGCTGATAAAAAAAGAAGCTTTCTGTTTTATGGCAAACCTTTGAGGCCATAAAGATGAAATGCTTATTTAGCTTATGCTCTGCCGTATCATCATAATCTTTCAGATTGAGTACGTATTGTATATAGAGGCAATGCAATCAGAAGGTTAGCTTCCCCTTGAAAACAAAAATAGCCGCCATATGACAAAAAAAAATGCATCACCATTTCTCTTGTATGGAGTATGAGAACTTGAACCTTATCGTCAAGACTTCAAGGAAGAAATTCAATACGTTAATGAATAACTCTACTTCCTATAAGACTGACGAATCACGAATACAAGGCTAGCAATCAACCATTAATATTACATACATTCTGCCTTTTAAAGCTAACTTAACTGTTGATTACTCAACAAAAAGCCATTGAATGCAATAGAAGTAACGAACAGCCAAAATTAATCTAAATAACAATAATATAAGTCCAACAAATAGTTCTTCCCTTCTTTCGTGAATAAACAAAACAAGAGATGAAGTTGAAGAAACAAACAAGTAAGACTAAGTACATTGAAAAATAGTATTCAAGCTAAGAAGATTAAGCAGGAGTAAGAAAACAAGTCGAAAATTTATTTAAAAACTGTCCTCAATAAGCACTGATTAAAAAGTGGGAAGTAAAAATCATAATACATACTTGTATGTCTATTCTAAGATAAGTAAGTTTATACAAAAAGGTAGGACTCAGTGGATGCAGCCTCTTGGATACAAATCGAATTAATTTACTTCGTTTGTTTTTTTTTTTTAAGAATAAACCTGATTCTCTATGTTTCCAATGATTGTGTTCTTCCCCTAATTTGCTTACAATTTTCAGTTTGTGAGTCAAATTATTCGACAAAAAATGTATTTAAAAATCAATCATATCTTTGTGAAAAGCACCATTTCCTGGTAATCGCTCTGGGCACAATATTTATTAATACACATCTAATATTTTACTTTTGTTAAATGACGATTACATTTTTTATGCTACTTTTTCCAAAAAAAAATACACTTGCATGGCAACAAAACAATTGTTTTAAAACAAGCATTATTTTAGCTATAAATTTACTTTTCAATCATTTGCATAAATGCCTTCCAAATGTTCTCATTTAAATAAATAAATTGCATTCCTTTGCAATAAAGACTTGTAAGTTGTGAACTCATCAGCAACTCCTCTGCATAGTCAGCGCCAAAATGCTGAATAACCGCCTTCTTTATCATTATCTGTGATCAAAATTTATGCTGCCTACTTTATTGCATTGACCGGCCATATCGTGACAGCAAATCGGTCGGTTTTCGGTAAATAATGCCACAAATTTGCAGTAAACGCAATTTATGCATACGAACTGTTGACACAATCGGAAAAATGCGGCAAATTGAAATCTAACTGTGGGCCCGAATCGAAGTGTGCAACAACAATTCGGCCAATAAATGGGTCGGCTGGGCGCATAAACCAAGATCTAATGCGACATGGCCGGCGGCCAAGATTGGCGTCGGTGTTGGCGTCATAGCCAGACTTTGTGTGCAACCAAAAATCTGTGCCGACACTGCCTGGCGACGGCAACAGGACACTTTTTGACACTTGCATGGCATAAATCAAAAGCGCCGTAGGCCTGGCCAACACAGCCAGCCAATTCATGTCTGTAAGTTGACCAACTGTTGGCCATTATTGCCAAGCTGTTGCCCGTTGTCGGCTATTTGTTATGGCTGTATGTATGTGTGTGTGTGTGTGTGTGTGTGTGTGTGTGTGTGTAGTTTTGTTTGTTTATTTGTTTGTGTGTGGCTGTCTTTTTGGCAATTTACACGCTGCATATGTCGCATTGCAGCTTTCAACGGGGACATCTAATAAATAATGCCAGAATATGGTAAAGCAATTCGTACTGCGTGCACAGTGGGGGTCCAATGATAACTTGCTATATGCGTATGAGTATTATACTTGTAGTATGACTAAACTGTCCAAAGTGGCAGATTGTTGGTAATATTGTGGAACGAGTGAGATGAAGAGGTGTGTGGGTAGATTTTCAATTTAGCATCATAAATGAAAGATAGCTTCTTCTGTATGTTTATCTCTGCATTCAGCGGATTATCTTCCAAATTAAGTTGGGCTGAATAATTCAGAAACTAAGAGTACAAATTTGTGGGAGTACACCGTCTATAAAGAACCAATTATTAAAGAGTTGAATAACGTTGCGTTACCTTATTGGTGATCATGGAAATCGAGTCGTAGAAAGTATTAGCGTATAAGGCAATCTTCCATCAGGTCATCCTTTTATTAAAGTAAGGACAAGAGATTTAATAGTTGAGGGACAATAAAGACCACAAGGAACCAATAGAACAATAAAGTGCAACCATATTGGTAAAAATAGAGATCCAGTCCCCGAAAGTATGTATAGTCATCTTCCATTCAAGTGAGGCCAGATGTTTGAATGGAGGACGAACAAAGAAGAAAATTTAAAGTACCAGACGGTGAGCCAGGATTAAAGAGATCACAATGAACCAAATACTAACTTATTAGAGATCACACAGATCCAGTCCCTGAAAGTATTATTAGGACTAAAAAAAAGGATTGCCCAAACTATCAAACATGATTATTCGAGTAATAAAGAGTCTGCAGAGTACTACCATGTGGGTCAAGAATAAGAAACTAATAATAAAACATGCTGTAATTGATAATTAAGAGACAACGAAGAAACCGTTGCAGATGATGCTAATACATCCCCAAGAATATCTAATATCGTATTTGTAGTAAGCAAGTTATTAGTACTGAACGATCATTAAATTTTTAGAGTGCGAGTAGATTTTAAGAAAGTTAAGTAAATGAAGACTTTTTGCGCGTTTTAAAGTATAATCTTTAAATTCTCCATAGTAAGATAAGAAAAGATTTTATGCAAAGTTCAGTTACTGTGAAGATGCAATTTGAATGAAATGCTCGTTCCGTGTTTGAAAGAATATGATAGTGCTCCATAATTTTATCACAACTTTCATGCCACCATGACTGAAAGAATTAATCCAACTGCATGACTCATGCTTTGCTTATCAACAAGAAAAAGGTGTATCTTCTATTAAAAATATTTTAAAGATTATACCTAATTCTGTTTTTACACGGTAGATTGGTGCCAAAGAAAGTCTTGTAAAGAAGACATTGATCATATATTATTTTGAATCTTGATAAATGGAATAAATTCGTACAACCATATACAAGTATAACATTTTTAATGTTCAAACCGTGTAAAAACAGAATTAGGTGTATTTTTAAATGAAAACCTCAACTGCCTACATTTGAGGAAATCGACACATATTCTCATAATGGCTTAGTATCCATTTGTATTTATCATTTCTACTATTTAGACCAACACACTGCTGACCTCTAAGCTGTGATCACTGTGCCAATATTATTGCCACTTAGGCACACGTGTCTGCTCGGAAAAATTAGCCACTATTGCCAACAGGAAGCCACAAGCAACAATCGCAAGACCACAGCAACAACAACAACAACAATAGCAGCAACATCAGTCGACAGCAAAAGTAAATGTTTATGTTTGTTTAGGCGAACAAACAAACAAACAAAAATCAAGTGGAGAGATGGCAAGACTAGCAGAGCTAATTGTTGATGCTGGATGCTGCATGTTGTTGTTGTTGCTGTTGCTATTGCGGATCGAAATAGCGCATTGCTGGGTCCGGTTCTAGACAAAAAGTGGCCAGACTGTGGTAAGTGTGAAAAGCGAAATCTGAAAATATCAGCGCACCCACGCATTTTCGCGGCTTTTTTTTCGACGCGCCATTTCTCATACGGAACGAATGTGGCAACTGTGATTTTTTTTCAAGTTTTCGTTTCGGCCAAGTTTTAATAAAAATTGTTAAAAACAAAAGCGACGGCGCATACAGAAATATACCGCATGTGACGCAATGGAAGCGTGCTGGCTGCCAGTTGGCAGTGGCTATCGTGGATATGGCGGCTATAGCGACTATAGCGGCTATACGGGTGCGACACTGTCACCGACGAAGGCCACTCGTGCCCACTGGGATTTGCCGTACTCTGAACTTGTACGTGTATGTGTGTGTCTGACGTGTGTGTGTGTGTGCGACTGTCAGCGGCAATTTTTAATGAAGACATTGTGCGACGCCCTGATTTTGATTATGATCGTCATGATGACGCTAATGCCAAAGCCGATCGTCAGCATCATGATGATAGTGCTGATAATGAGAGCGCCTTATTTTATGTGCAGTGCAGGCCCGGCAACGTCTCTTCCATCATAAACAACTTTTTTCCATTGGAATTTCGAATTTGTGAATTAAAGCACAATATTTATACTTTGGGAAATCTTTTTTTATGGATTATGTCTAACGATGAAGAAATAATTCATTGTGTCTGGAAATAAACATATCAACAAAGAGATTTGCAAAAAGACACATTTGCCCACGCAGTCAAAAAATGTATTTTTAATACAAAGAACTAATTTTTTCAGTACGTTTTTATAGGATCAACAAAAGTACTTAAGTAAATACCTCTTGATTGCGGCCTTATTGGACCCCCAAGACAATATTAGTTTTAGTTAGAGTTCAATTTTAGTAACTTTTTGTTAGCATTTTTAAAAGCAGGGATGATTTAACAACCCAAAATATGTTGTTTTTGAAAATTTCAAATATAGAAAGAAATGTATTTTTTATACAAAGAGCTCTTTTTTTTTTAAGTGAATCCAAGTTTTTCAGTACATTTTTATAGGATCAACAAAAGTACTTAAGTAAATACCTCTTGATTGTGGCCTTAAGACAATATTAGTTTTAGTTAGAGTTCTATTATAGTAACCTTTAGTTAGCATTATTAAAAGCAGAGCTGTTTTTGAAAATTTCGAACATAGAAAAAAATAATTCTTTAATACAAAGAACTCTATTTTAATGAGTCCTAACCTAACCTAGAGTTCAATTATAGTAAGCTTTAATGCGGAGCTGATTTAACAACCCAAACTATATTGTTTGCGAAAATTGCGAATATAGCAACTAATAGTCGATCAAGAAAAGTACTGACTAATTTGCATTTATTTAGTTATATTACACAACACTGTTTATCCACTTCTTTCACACACTGAATACGGCTTTTACACAATTGGGAAAAAGTTTGAGTTAGTAACATAAGTCCATTAGAAAAAGGGTTAGGCCTAAATGTTTTTCAATCGAAAATTTGTAGTCAAATATTCAATTACTACACAACATTGTTAATACACCTATTTCGCGCACTTAAACAAGTTTGAGTTAAAACCATTACATAAAGTTTAAAACCTAAACGCATCAAACGGAAATTTTCAGCCAAATATTAGACATAAAAAATTTAAAAACAAAACAATTTTAATTGTTTTTTGATACACAACCCATTATCTCTTTAGCAAATCTATAAAAATTCCTACTGTCGCAAAGCTCAAAACCTAAACAAAAACATATACATATACATAAGTGTATGTATAGTCACATAGTCTATTAACAACCACCCGAGATGATAACTCCTAACAGATATGTCAAGAGGGAATCCCGATAACAATGTTTACAACGCACAAAAATCTTTCATTCATATTTTTATACATACATACAAGTATGTACTATATATTTGATTTACTTTTGTTTTGACTACTGAGTCACATTTTTCGAGATCGTATGTGAAGAAATAGGGCTATTAACGAGCTACAAAATGTAGTTAACACACTTACTAGTAATTCGCAAGCATTTCGGAAATAAAAACAATTAGGCACAATTTGCATGACTGCGAAAAATTACAGCCTGTTCTTGCATTCTGTGGAACTACAAGTATTATAAATAGAATATCGAATTTTAGGATTTTGTTTGAAACAATTGAATTAAATGAAATGAAATTACTGCATCATTGACTGAATGATTCAATCAATCACACACAGCCAAAATATACATTTAAGTATGTGGCTTAAACGGAAGTACAATGGTTATAATCGATGAAAAGGGCGTTCAAAATCGAATTGGAAAATGCAAATAAATGCAATTCTGTTGGATTGCGATAAATATCGAAGTTTTGATAATACGAGCAACTACACTTTCATTTCAGAAACAAATCGAGTGCTGCCGGGAAATATCTGTACTTGTAGTTCCATAAACTTTCAGGGTAGGGCTCTGGTTTTTACAGCTCACGATGTTCAATAAATACGGAATGGAAACTTCCACAGCTACAATTTTTTCGATTTATGTATAATTGACTTTTCCGAGTGCACTGTTAGATTGAACAGCTAATTTCATCTGCTAATCTGCATATACTGTATGCATATATATATATATATATATATGTATATATTCATTTGCTACTCACCGCTCATCCTTATCGTATTTGGGCAAGGTGATGTGGTCCAGCAGCACCGAAGATTCCGACTGGGGTTCCGCGGAGATGCCCTGAGCACGCTGCCGCTGAAAGGTTTGTCCAGTTTTGCGGGTCGCCCCTGTTGAGGCGCTGGGACCGGCACCCGCGGCACTGCTGCGAAAGGGAAACACACTCTGGAACTTGTCCAGATGCGACTTGAGCTCCGCGATCTCGTTATCCTTGTACTGAAGGGCACGTTGCATTTCCTGTATCTTCATCTCCTTGGCCTGGATGATTTGTATGAAGCGCTCCTCCTGCGGCGTGGCCGCCACATAGGTGTTGTTCATGATTAGCTGCGTGGGATCGATGGGTGTGCCCGGCGAGGAGGTGGTTGAGGCCGGCGAACAGGCCGATATGCGCATATTCTGCATTTGCTGACCGAGGGCCAAGGTCGAGGGCGGCTGCGGATGCTGCTGTTGCTGCTGCTGCTGTTGCGTGGGTGAGGACGTTTGCTGGAGACAGGCAGCGGGTATGGCCACGGGTTGTGTTGGACTAGGAGCATAGAGTACGGGTTGAGATCCCGCGGCGGTATATAGACCCTGAGTCTGTGCCTGCAACTGCTGCAGCTGTTGATAGCGTTGCTGCAGCTGCAGCTCCTGCTCATGCAGGATGTTGCGGGCCTGCAAGTTCAGGTCTGTGTGCAGTTGTTGGGAGCCCGAGGGCGGTGTGCCGTAGATTAGTGTGTGGGTGAGGACGTCGTTGTGGGAGGGTGGCGCCGGACCCGGTATTAAACGTAATCCGGCTGCCGTATGCTCTAGACCGACAAGTCCAATGCTATTGGCTGCTGGTAGCGTAACAATTCCGCCGCTGTGAGTACCGACGACGACCCCACCGACATTGACGTTGCCGCTGCTGTTATTATTGTTATTGTTGTTCACGATGTTCACCAGACCCAGGTCGGGCTGAAACTGATAGTTGGCGTTCGGCTCCTGCTGCATGCTGGCGGCTTTTCGCAACAGCGCTGACGGTGGCAGAAGCTCTTGTTGTTGTTCTTGTTGTTGTTGTTGCTGCTGCCTCTCTTGCTTCGGCCGCTGATCTTCGGCACTGCTGTGTCGACGATAGCGACGAGCGCTCTCCGCCGCTTTCTTGCTGTTGTTGTTGTTATTATTGCTATTATTTTGGTGAGTAAGATTTGTCGAGGGTGGAAGAAGAAGTGTGTGCTGATGATTCCTCTCTATGTCCGGTGGCTTGGCCTCTGTTCTAATGAGCGGCACATCGGTTATCACTGACTGTGCTTTTTGTAGTTGCTGATTTTGAGGTTGTGGTTGTCTCTCAGTGGCTGTTGTTGTTGTTGCTGTTGCAGTGACAGACTCATTTGTTGTGTCTGTGCTATGGCTATTGTTGTTGTTGTTGTTGTTGTTGTGGCTGTTAATGTTGTTGCTATTTGTGGCTGGCCGCTTAGTTGCGAAGCACAGCCGATCAAAGCAAAAACGCATGCAGGCGGTTTTTCAAACAAACCGCCGCCACAAAAAAAACGCTCAAGCTGCTGCGATTAGCCCTGCAATGAGAGAGAGATAGAGAGAGAGAGAGAAATTGAATTAATATTAAAGTGCGATTAAATATTGAAATGTCCGCTTATTAATCAATTTAAACAGCTTGCTAATTCATAAACAAATTCTTAATCTACTCTAACTAAATGAGCAAACTGTTAAAACTCATAAGGCTGTTAATTGGCTTCCCCAAAGAGAGCTAGTTCGTGAGAGTAGGAGAGAGTGAGAGAGAGCTGCTGGCTTGTCTCTATTATGTTTAATTTGACGCCGTCGCCGCCATCTCATTGATAACACACAATCACAGGCATTTAGACATGCTAAATGCCTTTATTAGAATTTGGCCGCAATCGTTAATAAATCCAACTCGTATATCAGTTGGGCCGTCGCCAGACAAGCCCCAAAAAATCTAGCCGGGCTGACAAATTGTACATGACTTTGCAGTTTCTATGTCTATATATAGTATATATTTGTGTATGAGTGTGTGTGTGTATAAACAGGCCTGGTTGGCTATCACCGGTACATGACAGCCACGCCTTATGCTTCAATGGATAACAAGCAACAGCTTTATGTTTCTTGCCGCACACACTACACTCATAAATCGTCAGCCCCAATTGGCATATTAGTTTAACGACCACACTCATTTATCTATTCGTTGGCATAGTGTTTAAAAGGCTGTTTTAGATCTCTATCGATATTTAATATGTAGGTACAAGTATGTATAATATGAAAGCATAGTTCGTTTTTCATACTTTATCAGAATTTTATAATCTAGTTATACTATATTGCCCTCATTTGCTCGGCTTGATAACCAATGCTCAGGTTTCCGGCAGCTTATCCATGTTTTATTGTTATACAATACTATATGTAGCCAAAATATAAATTTAATTTCTTTGTATAGATTTAAACATAAAACCAAAATATGTAAACTACCAAATGTGTTTGAATCTTTAATTAGTTACCAAGGAATAGTTAGTTAATTAATGAATATTATGCTAAGGCAGCTCAGCTGGATAGTCCATTCCCGTTTGTGACTGTATTTTAGATACACATACGAAATAAAAGGGCCGATCTATTTACAGCGTCTATCTATCACTAAGTACATATATAGACAAGTTTATACTTTTTAGAAAGACTATTTTCACGAACTTAAATATTTTCCTATCAAAACTATGTACAAGTAAAAAAGTAAACAGAGTGTTTAGAATTCCTTTGTTGTTGCTCTAATTAACTTCTAATTAAACCGGTTGGTGAGCAAATTTAGGCACTGATTATTGAAAAATTCAAATTGGACAGCAACCTTGATGAAACAACAAAAGATCTCGTATCAAACCATAACATAAGATTTACATTTTATATTCAACTATAGTTTAAGCAAGAAAAAAATGTTTCATAAAGGAACGGTTTAACACTCTATTTTCATTTGAAAAGCAGCGCTTCTCACAGTTTCCCCGGCCTATTCATAAATTCCCTAATTTGTTTACGTTCTTTCCATGCAACCAATTCCAGAGAAATAACAAAACCGGCATAGACAACTTCTTGGCACATTTCTGACTACATGTGCTGTTTACTTGGACTGTTCTTCGTGGGCATATATAATTTAAATAAATAGAACTTGGGGGCTAAAAATAAACCCAAAGGGTGATGCAAAGTGGCAGATTTCTACGCTGAGCTAATTGAGGTTCGCAGACCGAGAGTAAAGACTGTAGGCTGTTGTATTGATGGGAAGCAAACATTGAAGCGCCAGCAATGCGGCAAAACAAATTAGAAAATCATTAGCATTTTTATGAGCGCCCATCGGATTAATAGCCAATTTGAATGCTAGGCTATTTTTGTGCCCGGGCTATAAACAATGCCAAAAGCAGCCTCAGCCCGGCTCAGACAATAGTGAACGGCATTGGCCAAATACTAGACACCTCCGTCAGCTTTGTGGCAATTACACGACGTAATTACTCACAAATTTGCTAGTTGCGATACCAAAAGTATTGCTAAATATTGAACACAAAAACAAACAGAGAGATCAGTGTGTGTTTGAATGTTTGTTTGTTTGTTTTTTGTACAAATTAAAACAATAGCGGCAGCAATTGACACAAAGCGTCGCTACTTTATTTATAGAACAATTGACAGGCCACTCAAAATATTACCGATCGAGCTGATATACCCCTACATACACGTACATATGTACGTACAAGTGTGTAGCGTATGGAGAGGGGCGACCATCGTCTGTCATGGCTTTTCAATAAACACATATCTGTGTGTCTGTTGTCTTCAATATGACTCGTGATCGGTGCTGGCTATGCCTTTTGCCCACTTAAGCGCAATTACGCATGCAATTTGTTTTCATCTTTGTCATAACAAGGGAAATGGAATATAAATTGTACATGCTGGCGTATACGTAATATTTAAAATGATTTTAAATCCCCCTCCAAACATTTCCAAAGCAATACAATTTAGAAGACAGCCCTCCAACCAAGAACTGGTTTTGGATATCAATTATTATTATAAACAATTTATATCAAGCGACACACAAAACAACATAAACAAATCAAACGTATTTGCACACGAGCTCCACAAACGTTTTAATGTCAACGCTGTCGCCGTCATCGGGCAGAGGGTATTAACATCAATCGATCGTGAGTTCGTTCATTCATGCGACTGATAACATTCCGATTCCTATACGCGCAGCAAAAAAAAAACAATAACATTAGCATTAACAATACTCGTACTCGTACTCGTTCAGGTGAAGGCTGTGTCGTCAAACGATCCAACGAAACGGCCATATTGGGAGTTTTGTGTGGCGCTAAGGTGAGGCATGAAGTTGGCTGCTTTATTGCCGCAGAGCAGGTCACGATATTGGGAGGTACTATCAGCAAATACTCGTAATTGTGAATAGCCTTAAGCTCATGGGTAGGTACGAATAAATGAATAAACTTCACAACGGGCTAGGCTTCTGGGAAATAACAATAATTCTATGCGGATTGGCGTGAAATTAATTACAGAGTGTACAAAATATTCTTGCTTAAACATTCAGTAGAACTAATCGGTAAATAGTTGTGTGGAAAGCATTTAAATTTGAATACAATACGAACAATTTTGTTATGAGATGTTCAATTACTTCTAAATATTTAAAAACTAATTAAAATTATCAAAAAATGAACGAGGAGTTGACTTCGTGGCTTATTTTGGAACTTTTGTAATAAACAATTCATTATGCAAAAAGCAAATTAAAACCATTTATGTTATTTGTAAACCAGTGAGTTCATTTGAAGTAAACTTTGAATGTTTAGCTATTCTCTAAAAATCCAACAAAAATCAATTATTTTGTTAAATAAATCAACAGATTTGTTAACAAAATAATAGAGAAATATAAGTATGTTTGCATAACAGCCATTATCTTTCGTCCAATAATTGAAGATGTATATTATTATACGAATGGAATAGTTTTATTAAGAAGTTAACTATGAGAACAGCAAACAAATACCTGTCACAGAGTGATTCAAATATAAATCAAATATAATTAGAAATAGAAATAATAGAAAATGCTAACCCAAAAATGTAGCTAGATTGAATAACGTGGTTTGGCTCTATGATATGGATCTTGTATAAACGCTGCAATTATTTCTGCAACAAATAAATATAAGTATTTTAAAAAACCACCTTATAGTTATTTAAGAATTTATTGAAACTATTGAAGTATTATTCCAATATGAAAGCTTTGCTTTCAAACTTCAAAAAAATAAGAAAAACCATCTACCATAGGCCTGCTTTAAAATTCAAAACAATTTGTTGTATCAGGTTTTTCAAAACTATCCAAAAATGTATATAGTATGTGATGATGATGATGAACCTGCAGAAGTTGGCAGATTTTTTCTTCTGGTAGCAATTGAGACTCCTTTATAAATTTTAAGTATTGAGTAACAGACTTAAAAAAGCTATTGAATTAATATTTGAAATTATCAATGAATATATTTTTTGTACAAATGAATAAATAAATTAATTAATATTTAATATTATCGATCAATATATTTTTTGTACAACATTTTAGCCGATTGGTATTTAAAAATGTTTGTAATTATTCGATGAATATATTTTTTGTACAAATAAATAAATAAATTAATTAATTATGTGAAATTATCGATGAATATATTTTTTGTACAAATGAATAAATAAATTAATTAATATTTAATATTATCGATCAATATATTTTTTGTGCAAATAAAAAAATTAATTAATATGTGAAATTATCGATGAATATATTTTTGTGCAAATAAATAAATAAATTAATTAATATTTGAAATTATCGATGAATATATTTTTTGTACAACATTTTAGCCGCTTGTTATTTAAAAATGACAATTACTCAGAGCTTTCACTTGATGTGATCTGATTTAGAAGCCACTGCCTAAAGTATAAATAATTAAATAAGACTAAGCTCTTAGTTAAAGCTGTAAGTTCAATTTAAGTTGTTGTAAATAACAGTATAATTAAAGTTTTACAATTATATAAAATAAAAACTGCCCATCACTGCCTTTATTTAATACAAACTTTAAAGTTCTTTGGAAACGATTGTGTAGAATAATTAGATGTAGAGAGGCTAAATGACTATGCAGCGTCTTCAGCAATTGGAAGAAGAGCCCACTAACTATATTAAGAACTGATCAAAATATTGATATTTCGCAGAACCTCTCATAATACGTTTACTCTCTACTGACTGTGGGTAGTCGACGTGGTAGTCTACGACTTTAGTTATTTATAAACAAATTGAAATGATGCTGAATCACACACACACATGAGCTAGCAAGCCTCTCATGGATCCAGATAGTCACTTGATGTCAATCGCATGTTGAAGCATTTGAAATGTGGAGCTTCGCTTAATTGGTCTTCTGAGGATAGCAAACATCGAGCGGTACTTTGTCTCTCCATCAAGTATTACGTACGTATTACGAGTTTATGGCAGAAGTGTGTATTTATGTATGTGCTGGCTAATCAGAACTGACAGTGACTAAATGCC